TGCAAAATCTGCCTGTTGGGTGGCAGAAGTGGGAGTTGAAAGTGCAGCAAACCCCTGGAAAAGCCTGTGCTGCTGCTGCTGCTGCCCATCCCAGGCGCTTTCCCTGTATCCCCCCTATTTCTAAAACCCCTTCTATCACTAAGAAGAAATGAGGTGAGGGCAGGGTTTTTGTTCAGGTTCTCATGTTGGACTCGGAGCTAACTAATMAAAACTGCTGAGCAGGGGCTGCAGAGAGGGGACCCTCAGAGGATGATGCATTTGCCTTTCTCCACCCAGGGGTTGTTCTTCATCAGCTCCGGGTTCAGGAAGGGATCCTCGGGAATGCCGTCCTCGATCCACTTCACGAACCTGCCGAGAGGGGAGGGAGGGTGGGCACTGCCCCGGGGGGCTCAGGGCAGCAGAATGGGGGATTGGGGGGCTGGGGGATTGGGGTGAACCCTGCTCTGGTGGGGGGATGCACCCTGATCTGGGGAATGGTGCTGGGGGTGTCTCCCTCTGGGACAGCAGGGAGGGGAAAGAGCGGTCCATGGTTTGGTTTGAAGTGTTTTGGGCTCTGTAAAGAGGGGATCTGCACCTTGGGAGGATCAGGAACCCTGACGGCGCTGCCACATCTCATCCCCCACCAGAGTGGGGGCAGCTGGAAAGGGCACAGTGGGGTTTGGGGGAACCAGGAGGGTTTTGCCTCTGGGGCTGGGAGGGATTGGAAATCCGTAAAGGGAAAATCTCAGCTGGGRGGCCCCAGGGATTGGAGGAGGGATGTTGGTGGTGGGTTCTGCTCTTGGGGGCACTGGGATGGGATGGGATGGGAKAGCCACTCACTCAGGTATAGTCTTGGAGGACATCTCCCTCTTGTAGGCCAGCTGGTACTTGAGGCTTTCCACCTCTTTTTTCCATTGTGGGAGATCCCACTCGTCCATCGCGCTCTCCGAGGGCTCCGTTGGGCTGGGAACRGGAATTTGGTGCCGTGTYCTGCCCTGATCCSCCAACTCTGCACCCCAAGGGATCCCCCGGGGTGGGGACAGCGTGTCCCAGCTTTTGGGGGAGTTTTCCAATCCCACAGTGGAGCAGCCAAAGGCTCCAGGAGCTCTTGGGGCTGTTAAGGAGAGGAAAAGGCTGCACGGGGCAGGTGTCCCGGTGTCCCTCTCCCCTGCMGACCACAGGCACATGCAAAACCTGGGGACTGAGCTGGATTTGACTGAAATTTGGATGGTGGCATCACTCAGGGCGGGGAGCAGCAAACAGCAGACAGAGGCTGGTTGGGAAGGGGGTGCTTGTCCTTTTCTGGACAAGGCTCTGGAGGGACCAGGAAGGATTTGGGGCAGCCACGTAAACAGCCCTGGAAAYGGCTCAATATGGACAGCCAGCGTGGGTTTGGGGAGCACAGGAAACCCCTCTGTACCCCCACCCCACAGACCCCCAGCAGCAACCCTGGGGGAGGACGGCTGTGATGGGGAAACTGAGGCACAGCAGGGGAGTGGGCTTCAGCAAGCACCTGGCCCAAGTRCCACCCCAAAAACTGATGACACTGGGGACCTTCCCGTGTCCCCGAGCCCAGCGCCAGCCCGGGGATGATGAACCCYGGCAGTGCCCAGCTCCAGCAGAAAGTCAGGGAAGGGCTGGAGGTGCTCCAAAGGTGCAGCCCCCGGGCTGCTCCGGCTCCGCTTCCCTCAGCGCATCCCCCGGAACTCCAGCCGGGAGCGGGATCAGCCCCTTCCCCGCTCCGGCTTCCCCGGGATCAGCCCCTTCCCYGCTCCAGCCCTCCCGGAGCATCCCAGCGCATCCCGCACCCACCTGGTTTAGGAATACCGACAGCAGTGAAAATAGAGCCGTGGCTGTCGCCGCCGGCTCTGGAAGCAGCGCTGGCCTTGYCCGTGTTCCTCCCGCGAGCTCTTCCGTGGCTCCCGGCGATCCCAAATGCTCGGGATAATCTATTAATGCACGGCTGGTCCGGCTGCCCCCGCCGCGGCAGGAGCCGGATAATGGGAGCGTCCTCCCCCCGCCGCTCCCGGGGGATTTGGCTCCGCTGGGCGGGAGCGCCCGGGATGGAACCGCGTCCTCGTACCCAGTGGCAGAGCTCGGGAATTGGGCTTATCCCAGCTTCCCTCCGGTCCTGAGGGACAGGAGGAACTCAGGGAGGAGGGGGGATGTGTGTGGGACACAGCGGGACCCCAGCGAACCCCGCATCCCTGCCTGAATCCCTGCCCGAATCCCTGCCCCGCCTTTCCCGCTGTCCTGCCCCTGGATCTTGGGGTACTTCCCACTTCCCGGGTACTGGAGGAGCTGGAGAGGGAGCTGGGAATAAAAAAGGGGAAAAAAAGAAAAAAATAAAAGAAGGAT